TGTCCCCCACCCCCCAGGTGAGCCCCCACCAAAGGTTAACCCCCCCACCCCAGGTGAGCCCCCCCTCACTTGATGACACTGAAGGTTCTCTGCTCGTAGCGGGGTTTTGGGGGGGGCCCCCCCCGGCTGTGCTCCCTCCGCAGGGTCTCCATGTGCCGCCGGCATTCCTCGGCCAGAGCCTCACACCTGGGCAGGTGACCCCCCCCCCGGATCAGAGGAGAAGGAAGATCCTCGCTGCCCCCACCCCAGGGCTCACCTGGTGGTCTCCGAGATGTTCCCCAGCTGAGCGAACTGCCGGGAATAGCTCAGACACATCTGGGGGAGCAACGCGAGGAAGAGCAGCAGGAGGAAGAGGAAGAATGAGGGAGAAGGCAGGAAAAGAGAAGGAAGAGAGAAAAAAGAAAGAAGGAAAGACAAAAAGAAATGAGAAAAAAGGAAAAAGAAAGAGGAATAAGGAGAAAAAGGAAGAAAAAGAGGAGAAAAGGAGATAGGGAAGGACAAGAAGAGGAAAAGGAGGAAGAAAAGGAAATTTTCCACATCCATCTGATATCCTGGAGCCCCCCCCCTCTTTGGGGTGCTTCCCCACCCCCCTCAATTCTTGGGGACACTCCCCCAGTTTTTGGGATACTCCCATTTTTTTGGGGTTTCCCCCCCTTTCTTTGGTGCCCCCCATTTTTGGGGGTTCACTCCCACCTGGTGCTGCCTCCTCAGGGCCCCCGCCAGCTGCAGGAAGGTCTTGGCGGCCTCGGGGGGCATCGGGACCCCCCGGCCCGGCCCCAGCTCAAACTCGGCCCCGTCCAGCGGCACCTCCGGGACCTGCGGCAGGGATTTGGGATCCCGTGGGATGAGAGGAGATCCTCAAGGGGAAGGGATCTGGGATCCCCAAGGGGAAAGGATCTGGGATCCCGTGGGATGAGAGGAGATCCCCGAGGGGAGGGGATCTGGGATCCCGTGGGATGAGAGGAGTGAGATCCCCAAGGCAAAGGGAGTTGGGATCCCCAAGGTGAAGGGATCTGGGATCCCGTGGGAAGTGAGGAGTGAGATCCCTGAGCTGAAGGGATCTGGGATCCCGTGGGATGCGAGGAGTGAGATCCCCAAGGTGACGGGATCTGGGATCCCGTGGGATGCGAGGAGTGAGATCCCCAAGGTGAAGGGATCCCGTGGGATGTGAGGAGTGAGATCCCCAAGGTGAAGGGATCCTGTGGGATATGAGGAGTGAGATCCCCAAGGTGAAGGGATCTGGGATCCCATGGGATGCGAGGAGTGAGATCCCCAAGGTGAAGGGATCTGGGATCCTGTGGGATGCGAGGAGTGAGATCCCCAAGGTGAAGGGATCCCGTGGGATGCGAGGAGTGAGATCCCCAAGGTGAAGGGATCCCATGGGATGCGAGGAATGAGATCCCCAAGGTGAAGGGATCTGGGATCCCATGGGATGTGAGGAGTGAGATCCCCAAGGTGAAGGGATCCCGTGGGATGTGAGGAGTGAGATCCCCAAGGTGAAGGGATCTGGGATCCCGTGGGATGTGAGGAGTGAGATCCCCAAGGTGAAGGGATCTGGGATCCCGTGGGATGCGAGGAGTGAGATCCCCAAGGTGAAGGGATCCCGTGGGATGTGAGGAGTGAGATCCCCAAGGTGAAGGGATCCTGTGGGATATGAGGAGTGAGATCCCCAAGGTGAAGGGATCTGGGATCCCATGGGATGCGAGGAGTGAGATCCCCAAGGTGAAGGGATCTGGGATCCCGTGGGATGTGAGGAGTGAGATCCCCAAGGTGAAGGGATCCCGTGGGATGTGAGGAGTGAGATCCCCTAGGTGAAGGGATCCCATGGGATGCGAGGAGTGAGATCCCTGAGGTGAAGGGATCCCGTGGGATGTGAGGAGTGAGATCCCCAAGGTGAAAGGATCTGGGATCCTGTGGGATGCGAGGAACGAGATCCCCAAGGCGAAGGGATCTGGGATCTTTGACTGGACGCACCTGTGCGATGTCGACGGGCAGCCCCCCGCGGGCGGCCCCGATGAGTCCCTCGATGCCCTTGGCCCGGCGCAGCAGCAGCTTGGCTCCCTCCAGGTCGTTGCGGCGCTTGGCCCGCAGCGCGGCCTGCGCCAGCTGCCGCCGCCGCAGCTCCAGGAACTCCAGCTGCTGCTGAGCTGGGAGCGGGGCAGGGGCTCAGGGGGCTCCCCTCAGCCCGCCCCCCCTGCCCCCGGTCCCTCCTGTACCTTTTCCAGAGGGTTTGGGAGCCGGCTGGGAATTCCGAGGGGGCGGCGGCTGTTTGGGAGGGGCGGCGGGGGGAGCGCTGGGCTGCACCTGGAGCCATGGGATGATGGTGTTGGTACCACTGGGAATGTCCCACTCGGGGTCCTTCCCGCCTCCCCAAATTCCCTGGACCCCCAAATCCCACCTTGGCCACCTTGCTGTCCCCCTCTTCCTCCTCCTCCTCCTCCTGCTCCAGCCCCGTCAGCTTCAAGGCCGCCTCCAGCATCCCAGAAATGCTCGGCTGCGACTGGATCTCGGTGCCCTGGATGGGGGGGCAGCCTGGAAAAGGGGGGGGGTCCCGGTGGGAATGGGAGCCTCCCAGCTCCACCGCCCCCTCCCACGGGTCAGGAAGCGGGAACGTACCCGGGGGAACCGGCAGCTCCAAGAGATCCACGGCTTTGCCGGCGCTGTGAGCACGGATGGCGGCCTGGTATTGCTGGGGGGGCACAGGGGGGTCAGGGGACACTCAGACGGGGAACTGGGAGCACTGGGGCCAGACTGGGATCACCCACACAGCGGGGACCGGTGTCCCTGTGGGGGGACTGGGACCAGGATCGTCATGGTGGCACCAGGAGGAGCGTTCTGGGATCAGAGATCACACACCAGGACTGGGCTCCCTCCAGGACAGGACTGGGATCACTGTTCGGGGATTGGGATTCCTGTTCTGGGGTTGGGATCTCTGTGCCTGGACTGGGATCTCTGTGCCTGGACTGGGATCTCTGTTCTGGGACTGGGATCTCTGTGCCTGGACTGGGATCTCTGTTCTGGGACTGGGATCTCTGTGCCTGGACTGGGATCTCTGTGCCTGGACTGGGATCTCTGTGCCTGGACTGGGATCTCTGTTCTGGGACTGGGATCTCTGTGCCTGGACTGGGATCTCTGTTCTGGGACTGGGATCTCTGTGCCTGGACCGGGATCTCTGTGCCTGAACTGGGATCTCTGTGCCTGGACTGGGATCTCTGTTCTGGGATTGGGATCTCTGTTCTGGGATTGGGATCTCTGTTCTGGGGTCTCTGTTCTGGGACTGGGATCTCTGTCCTGGGATTGGGATTCCTGTTCTGGGGTCTCTGTTCTGGGATTGGGATCTCTGTTCTGGGGTTGGGATCTCTGTCCTGGGACTGGGATTTCTGTTCTGGGATCTCTGTTCTGGGACTGGGATCTCTGTTCTGGGACTGGGATCTCTGTCCTGGGGTTGGGATCTCTGTCCTGGGGTTGGGATCTCTGTTCTGGGGTCTCTGTCCTGGGATGCAGCTCTCCCACCTTGACAATCCTCTCGTGCATCCGTGCCTTCCTGGCGTCCCCGCTGTCCTTGGCCTGGGCCGCGGCCACCCGGTACCGCTCCATGCGCTGCTCCAGCGCCTCCCGCACGTCCCGTGGCGCCCGGGGGGGCTCTGGGGTGGGGAAAACGGGAGAATCCCAAAAAGTCCCCCCTTTTCCCTCCCCAGGGAGCTGCCAGAGCTGACCTGCGGCAGGAGGGGTTGGGCTGGTGTCCGGTGGGTTCTTTGTTGGAGAATCCCTCAGGAGCGGAGCCTTCGGCTCCTCCGGCTGTGGATCTGCGGGAAGGGAGCAGCCAGATCCCACCAGGACCTGCAGGACCCCCAAACCAAGGGGTTCAAACTCTTTCCATCAGGATCGGGGTCTCACCAGGGGCTGGCGGAACACGGCCCTGCCCCAGCACCTCCAGCTGCGCCTCCAGCCTCTGGAAAACCACAGGAAAACGGGAATTCCGGCACGGCAGCTGGGCCCAGAAACTGAGAGATCTGGGGGGATTCTGGGAATCCTGGGTGTACCTTGGCCGCACGGAAGTGCCCGAGGGCCGTGGCCGTGTCCCCGCGGCGTTTGGCCGCCAGCGCTTCCTTCTGCAGCTCCTGGAGCCGCAGCTGGAGCGCCGGCACCGAGCCGGGACCCGGGCAGGGATCCGGGCTGGGATCCGGGCAGGGATCCGGGCAGGGATCCGGGGCAGGGGGAGGCTGTGGAGGGGCAGGGGGCTGCACTGGGGGCTCAGGGCTCGCAGGGGGAGGTGGCCCAGGGGCTCCCCCACCCTTCCCCAGAGCCACCGGGGGAGGAATGTCGGCCTTGTCGATCGGCTTCCCACTCCGGACGGACTCCAGCATCTGCTCCAGGGTCTGGGGGAAAAGGGGAATGGGGGAAACGGTGAAAATCTGGAGGAATGGGGTGAAACGGGGGCAGAGCTTGGGAGAATGGGGTAAAACAGGGATCTGCAATCAGAAAATGGGGTAAGAGAGGGCTCAGAATTGAATGAAAGGGAGTGGATGGAACGGAACAAAGTGAATGGAATGAAATGGAATTTCGTTGGAATGAAACTGGTCAGGACTGGGAAAAGTGAGATAAAACTGGGCTCAGAACTGGAAAAAAACACGACAAAACTGCTTAGACTCAGGCAAAGCTCGGTCAAACAGGGTTCAGAATTGTGACAAGCTGCTCCATACTGGGAAAAACAGCAGAACACGAGGTTATTCCAAGGATTTTGAGGGCAGAGGGAGCGGGTCTGGCCAGAGAGACCAAAGCCCTGATTCCAGGGGCTCGGACTCACCTTGAGGCCGCGCTGGAGGCGCCGGAGCCGGGCCCCGTTCCCGTTCTCCCTCGCGGCGTTCCCCAGGGCCGCCCGGTAGAGCTCCGCACGCTCCGCCAGCTCCGCCAGCAGCGCCCCGACACCCGCGGGCTCCTGCGGGAACACCGGATCACTGGGATCCTCCACCGGGATCGAGCCTGGGCTCGG